ATATATATATATATATATATATATATATATATATATATATATATATAAAACCAGCGCCTTTTATATCGGTAAGTTATTTTGATGGAATGGCCGATGTCTGATATTGAACTTTATCGCTAATATCGGCCGATACCATGTCAATAATATCGTGCATTCCTACTTTTTCGTGCTTTTATTTTCCATACCTTCTTCTGTTTGAATAGAAGATAATTGCTGCATCAATTGTGAATAAATAACTACAACACAAAAGCTGTACAGGGAGGATACCTTTCAGACTGGATGCCATTTTTCAGAACTCCAGTGTAGTCTTTCCTTCTTTCCAGTGGAAGAGCATCAACAAAGCCGCCGTCTGTTTTAATCACCCCGGCATGGATGGCTGATTTACAAATACTGGAGCTCTGTGAAGATAAAACGATCCCAACATTTAGAGGATTAACAACTATTTGTTCACTACATAAACGTTGCAACGATCTTACTATCAAACATGGAATATTTCTCTAACAAAGGGACACACACACTGAAAGACTCTCAAACGGAGGAGTCTGTGCCAGAAATCTGGCTCCAGCAGAACAAACCATAAGCTCTTATCAACAGAGCAGAGAATTGTTCATTTTCCAAACCAAACATGGGTCACACGTGCGCTCCACCGACGTTTATATCTCATGTTGGACCAACATTTAGCCTCTGCACCACTGCAGAAATAAATGTGGGTGCCTGAGACAGTAAATCATTCCTTGACACGTTATTCTTTAGAGTCTCTTTGGCTCAGTGATTTTTACTCGTATATTATCAAGTGGCAGTTTGATCCAAGGTATCACTCCACCAAACTCAACATGACAGTGTGTCTGTGCACGTTACCTTTTATATATAAGCTGCAAGAATAAAATATAGTAAGATATACTAAAATAATAAATATGAAGTGTTGATCCAAACCAGTCGTCCTCAAGGAACTTCAACATTTGGTTCTCAGTTTCTCTCAAAGATGACTCAGAAAGTCTTCAGGAACAACCACAAAACAACCGCTGCACCTCAGAAGAATTTTGACTTTTGTTCAAAAATACTAGCAGGGGATATGGAAAGTGAAGATCTAAGGTCATTTTATCATTTAGACTTTCAGATTACGTTTTGTTTTCTTGTGCTTTGACAGCTGTGTGTAATGGGGGGTAAATGTAGTGTGCAGTTAGTGAGCTGTGATTGGGTCAGGAGATCAGCTGGATGGAGACTGGACAACGTTCTGCTGCAGAGAACATCCATTCATCTTCTGAGCCGGCCTCACAGATACAACAGTGTTGCTTTTGTCTACAGGTGACATCAGGTTTTTAGTGGTGGGCTGCCCTCGCCTTTTCTCATCCCTTTCTCTTGCTCTTTTGAGTTAAAGTAAACTAAACTCCCTGTATTATATCTCAAACACTTCCTCTAAATAAGTCATCTGGATGGTTTCTTTTGTTGCTGAGACGTTGCATCCTTCATCCGAAGGACTTCTTCAATCTGAAGAGACACTAAACCAAACTGAATCCCACAAACAGGACACTTCCAGAGTGAGAAAAAACAGTTTGCTGGTGATAAGATGGCCTCCGGGCTCGCCCTCTCCCCTGTCAAATCCTCTAAGGCAGCCATGCCAAAGTGGTGCAAAACACCAAAGTTCATGCTCAATAATTCAAGCATGCCTTAGAGGAATTGACGGGGGAGAGGGCGGGCCCTGGAGGCTGTATTATCACCAGCAAACTGGTTATTTTCCACTCTGGGAGTGAACTGTTTGTGGGATTCAGTTTGGTTTGGTGGCTCCTCAGACTGAAGAAGACCTTCGGATGAAGGATGAAACATCTCAGCAACAAAAGAAACCATCCAGATGACCTGACTGAACATTGTTGGATTTATACCTGGATTAATGAGCATGAACTTTGATGTTCCTCTGAATATTTTTTGGGGTGAACTCTTATTCATGTCGTTTTTACCGCTTGAAATTTGGAAAAGACCACGGACACAACTTCACATTTAAAGGTCTTGTGTTGATACAGAACAACGAGATGAAAATGTGAACATGAAAAAAAAAAGTCTGTGGTACTTTCAGTGTAATAAAATGTTGTATATCAATCCATCCATCCATCCATCAATCATCTTCCGCTTGTTCTGAAGTCGTGTCGGCAGCAGCTTGAGCAGGGAGGTCTAGACATGTCTTTCCACAGCCACCTCTTCCAGCTCTTCTGGGAGGACCCCAAGGTGTTCCCAGGTCAACTGAGAGACGTAGTCTCTCTAGTGAGTCCTGGGTCTTCCCTGGGGTCTCCTTGCAGTTGGACATGCCTGAAGCACCTCCCTAGGGAGGTGCCCAGGGAGCATCCTCACCAGATGCCTGAACCACCTCAACTGGCTCTTCTCGATGTGGAGGAGCAGCGGTTCTACTCTGAGTCTCTCCCAGACAACTGAACTGCTCGTCCTTTCTCTAAGGGAGAGTCCAGCTACTCTACAGAGGAATCTCATTTCAACCGCCTGTATCCGTCTGTACAGGCGGTGGAAATTTTTGTAAATGTGAAAAAAAAAAAACTCACGTCTGCGTAGATGCTGTTTCCAATGACAGGTGACCAGTACGAAGGCTGTGAGTGACAGCTGGCTGGGCAGAAAATTCTGAAAAATGTAACAACAGTCGGGAATTATATTACTAATTGTTATTGTTTTTATTAGTTGAAGCTTATGGACTCGTTAACAAGCAAGATGCATTGTTTGGACGCGCACATGAAGTTTTAAACAAACCCTAAAAGACGCATATTTGCTACATTTGGAAAAACGTAAGGCTGAATGTGTAAAGGCACCTTGGACAGTGTGAAGAGGGTCTTTTGAAAGGGCAGATTTCAGCAACGGTGGTGTAACAATCAGCAGTATATTCTGTCACACAAACAGAAAAAAACACTTAAAATACTGAATGACACTAAATGAAATAATGAAGGAGAGTTCTGGAAAAAGGCAGTGATTTTCTTACCTTCTACTTTGGTCACCACAAAGGAGTTCCCAGGTTTATATTTACTGTGAAGACACAGGAGGGGTTAGAGATCAGTTGCTACAGTTTTTGTAAAAAAAAAAAACTTCTTACAAATCATTGAAACTATAGCAGAGATTAAATGCTTCCTCAACTCTGCATTAGAAAATGAGATTTTAAGAAAATCACCACCAAATATTTCGTGTTATGTATTTAAACACATTAGTGTAAATACAATAAAACAAGTCAAATAATGTAAAATAACTGTGTGTGAATCCAAAAATAGTTTGTTTTGGATCAGAATCTGAATCTGTATAAGCTTTATTATCATTGTACCAAAATACAGTGAGATTATGTTCGTACAGTCGTTCGAAAGATGGGCTGAGTGCACGTTGCTGCTGCTACAGGAGCGTGACCCCTTATCCTTTTTCAGAATACTTTCTAGATAGAAAACGGGGAAAAGCCATGAGGTGAGGATAGTGGCATCACAAAAAAGGTCTCTTCACACATTGTCCTATCAGGACATGATTTGAGACATCAAAAAACTACCAGCAGCACATTTATAAACACGTTACACATGCATGTGACAACAAGACGGTAAGATTTGTCCATGAAGCACTTCCAGATAGACCATAGTCCTGATAAGATGTTGGTGTCAGTCGGCACAGTTCTGATAAGCCTTCACAGAAGTTCTCGGGGGGAGGGGGGTTGCGATAGACAAAGATTTTCCTTAGTTTACACATATCCCAGGAGAAATTTGATGTCAGCCTACTTTGAGGCCAACCAGGGGAGTCAAATTCAGATAGGCCACAATTGTTGGTTTTTTTTTCAGGCAGACTGTTTTTTTCTTATCAGCCTTGCTGGTACTTTTGATCCAAAAATAGCCAAATTTGTGGGCATTCCACTGTTCAGTGCTTATGAGCCTCCTCCAAGGTCGTCTCCAACAAGCTGGTGAGTCCCAGAAGCCGCAGGTGGGTTGCGATTCTCACAAATTGCTTCCATCTTACAGTTTAGCTCGTAAATCAGCTGATTTTGAGTACTCAAAGTACGAACCAAACCTTCACACAGACTGCAGTTTTGCCATGGCTGAAACTGCTGCAACTGTCTTCCTTAATACCCAATAGCATAGGAATCCACCGATGCCAAAAAGTAGAAACCTGCTATCATGAATCCAATTACAGTGAACCCTCGCTATAACGTGGTTCACCTTTCACGGTCTCGCTGCTTCACGGATTTGCATCGTGCATTGTGTTCTGCATTCTGATTGGCTAAACAGTCTCAGTAGTTACTGTAGTTAATTGTTAAAAACGTTTATACAGTACTTTTATTTGTTAAACAAATGCTTGGGCCTGTAAAAAGGTTTTGTTCTTTGGTTTGAATGCATTATGGAGTATTTCATTGTATAATAATTGTAAAAAAAATAAAGGTTACTACTTCATGGATTTCGCCTATCACGGGTTCTATTTGGAACGTAACCCCCATGAAAAACGAGGGTTCACTGTATATAAATATCTTCGGCGTCCTGAGACAAAACGGAAAGACACATCAGCTCCAAAACTCCCCACGGATCCATGACGTATCCCACCGCGTGAGTCTCAGTGGGGCATGAGGGCTCTCCAGGACCCTGTCGCGTTGTTGAAAAGATTTTTGTTGATTGCGTTGAAAGTCCAGCTGACCAGATCCATGACAGTAGTTTTCATTTCGAAAGATGTGTAATAGGAGCTCCAATACACAGACAGAGAGCAAAAAAGCAGGAGGAAAACAGGAGAGGGAGCGAAAAGGTGTCCGCCTTGCACGAGAGTGAGTGCAGAAAAAAGGGTAATTTGCTAATTTTAAAAGGGTTTTGCTTTATATGTTTTATACGTTAAGATGAATATGTTAGTAAATGAGTATCATCTTGATGAAATCAATCAACTTTCCATTCTTGTTATGAACAAAAATAAAAAAATTTTTGCTGCCCTTCGATGCAGCTGGTCCACCATCCTGTCACTTAAGAATGAAGGCTGCTGCTCAGTTAATCAATACTAATCAACAGAGATGTGCCTTTTTGTCCACTTTATATCTAGAATTAACTCAAGAACGTGAAAAATGTTGTATTTTAATTTTAACGTTGTGTATTTCTCTAGTATGAAAGCATTTTGTGAGCAGTTTGTCCACAGTCCTTATGTTGAACCTGATAACAGACAAATTGTATTTATTGCCTAATAGACACAAATAACTTTAAAATATTTGTACCTCAAAGATTCAACGCCATTTTTTGTGGATCTGACAAAGAACGGAGACCTGTCTGTTCTTGTGACATCAACCAGCCCTCCGTTGTTGTCTATAACTCCAGCATGGATAGCAGCTCGGCAAACACTCGATTGCTGAAACAAAAAACGTGAACAACTAAGTACAAAATAATATTAAATGGTGCTGCATAATGAAAATTATTGGTGTAGATTCTCAGTCATCCTGGACATGGCAAATCTTAAGTTTATTCCTATAAGGCTCCTAGATACAGTAAATGATGCAAGATACTGGTATTTGTTGTTCTGCCGGGTAGACTCACCACATCATAAGTACCACTTCCCCAAACTTTTGCTTTCTTGTTTAAACAATTTGCCGGACATCTGTGTCTGCAGAGGAAGAAAGTCAGTTAACAGTGTGTGGTAAATTAACAAATAAATTGAGATTTTTCAGAAAAACCTTTCACAACAGCCTTACCTGTTGCAGGTTGCCCCTTTGCATTTATCTCGTAGCCTAGTCTCACACTTAATGTTGTGAACTGCAAGACAAGACAATGAGTTAATATTAAGAACAAAATAGAAGAAGTTTAATGTCCTTGTTGAATGTTCCTGGGATTACCAAGATAGGGGTTGCTTGGAGTTTTTGCAGGTGATGTCCTGGGAGCGGCAGGTCTTGGAGAGGAGGGCTTGGACACGGGTTTTCTGGGAGTTTTGGGAGCTGGTCGGGAGGTCGTACGAGGTGGCAGAGGTACTTGAGGTTTTTCCACCTCATTCATGTCCTCCGTCTCTGAGCGCTGAGAGTCTGTAAATGAACAAATGTAGAGTTTATATCGGTGCGTTTGCAGGTTTTATGAAGGAGGTTTACTGTAAATGCTTTAATCTTTTATATTTTGCAGCACATTTTGTCACTCTGCCTGAAACACTGTGATCTTTCTTGTCTCTTTAAGGTTGCTGTCGGAAAAAGCTTCATATTCACTAAATGGTTATCTGAGTGGTCAGAAATGGTGGATTACAAAGCTCCTGCTCATTACTTAATGGGAGTGTGCCAGAACTAGATACTTGGCAGTCATTCTGTAAATGTTGCACAATGATGCAGACTGGTAAGGGATTACAAACCAGACGTCTCAGCTAAATGAAGAGCAGCAGCAACTGTGGGAAAGATTTCTAAAAAACTGAAAAGAGGCAAGTGTTCTTTCTGTCATGGCTCTTGAAGAGGTTTTCTTCTTTAGATCAACAAGAGTCGAAGAGGCATTTAACATTTAAGAACATTTTCACAAATCACTATGCCTGATAGGCTTTTGTCATGTTTTATTATCAAGTTCATGGATTTGAAGTAGGACTAAAACTGATTCACTGCTGAGTCTACAAAATGGGTGCTCAGTGTTGAATTGGAGTGAGGGTAGGTGGGCGCTGTACCCTTCTTTAACCAATTATATTTTATTAGTAAGTTCCACACTACTGTACTGGCTTCGTATGTGGATGCATACACAAATACAGTGACTTCACAAGAATATATTTTTTTAAGTCATTGAGCACAACTAATATGTTAACATGGCTTTAGAGAGTTATTAGGCCTTTTTTACAAAAGTGCTTTACAATATGCCACAAAGTAAAACCCCTCTTAAAGTTGCCTGGTCTTTTGTAAATGTACCAGTTAGGCCATCCATAACTGGTATGAGTAAGAAATTATACAATGAAGCTGGCAGCGCAGAATCGGGGGTCATTGGGTGTTTGTGTGGAGCACTTTGCATAACGTGTGCCAGACGTATCCCATTCTAAATCCTGTGGCCAGCAAGCTACAAAGATCATCTATCACCATTTTACACCATCAAGCACTGAGGCTAGGTTACTCTTACAAATTTTGATCAGTTCACAACTGTCACTACCTCCTTCAGTGGCTCAGAGGCATAACAGTGGCAGGTTGACCTCAACCCACAATCTTAGTCATTACATAAAGAAAATTCAATTCAATTCAAAAATACTTTATTAATCTCAAAGGTAAATTAATTGTTGTTGTAGCTCATCATCCTGGTTTCATTAAAGAGTTGTTACAGATGCTGTCTGTAGGCAGGAAGGATCTGCAGTAGTCCGTCCCACAACAGATCCGAAGAAACTGGCTGCAGACGCCGATCCATCCACCTGGACCCAGCAGACCTCTCGGTCCTCTTGCGCAGCAGGACTACCTGAATGTTGGGTAGAGCTCCTCCCCGAGCGATGGCCACTCTTCCCAGAAGCCTGCCGAGCTCCTCATCCCCGCGGATGGAACTGCAGGTGTCGAGAGACGATCCTGGTCCTCCCGCTCTCACAAGCTACGTTTTCCGCCAGCTCCAGGATCTCAGCGGTCAGGCACATGAGCACCGCTGCCAGGCAGATGGGAATGCATCCAAGGCACCTTGTTTTCAACCCATCTGGGATTTGGGGCTGTAGGTGAGGTATTATTTGTGCTTTTGAGATGTTAATCAGCTGCTCCCAGTTGTAGAAAACCACCTCGTTGTCATGGTTACGCATCATAACAAATGTCCAAAAGTTTAAAAAAAAGGTTTTCAGTTAAAAAATCTTTCCAACTGCACAGCATCTGATACGAGGAGACGTATCCGAAAAAAGCGATTTACATCCAGAAAAAAAGAGGCATTAAAGTTTTCAAAAGCAAAATTTCGGAATGACTGTGAGAGCTACTTCAACATGCAGCCACCCCGAGCGGTGCGATTCTAGAATTTTCTAGATTCTAGAAAATCAGGCCTGGCCTGAAAGGGTTTTGTGAAATCACACCGGAGTTACCCCTCCAGCTGCTCACAAGCATGAAACTGGCCACCAGAACTGAAGAAGGTTTTGTGTTCACAGGTAAGATGTCTTCAGGAATTTAAAAACAGTTGCAACATCTGGGCAATTGATGACCGAGAAGTTACACTTTAGCCCCTTTTCATTTGGACTTTGGGCTTTGAAACGTGAAAATATGTCATGTGCACAAACGCAATATTACAAATTGAAGTACATAAACACAAAAATGTGTAGCCATTTAAATACAAATTATTCTTATTATCTACAAGTCTCTCTTGTAAATGAGTCCCCGAGGCTCAATAGGATTAACCTGAATAAATAAAGGTTGAATTCAACTATATTAAGTCGTCTCACCTTTGTAGCATAAGTTGTTTCTACATCCTCCTCCATAGCTTGGAGGACACTGGGAACAGGGTCGGCCATGTTTATACGGGGCCTCTCCAATCCAGTTTCCCCTGCACAGATGAAAAACAATGGTCAGCTTGACTAAATGTAAAACAAATTAATTTAGAACACGGCCATATAATTACACCAGAACACTGCATTCACTCTACATTCTTAAATCAAAATTTATTAAGTATTTTTAATCCAACAAATTAAAATAATTTTAATTTCCCCCTTATGCTTCATTATTATTGTTTGTCCTTAGTTATGGGTCATTTAAACAGCAACTCTATGTCAGAATGTTTAAACTAGTGCAACATATTTGCAGCACTGCAACGCGAGACTTGTCAGCCTTGTAAGGAAGGCGGAATAAGATTAGGAGTGTGGATGAACCGTGGAATTTAGGAAAATATGGCTCTTACTTTGGGGAATAGTTGCACACAAGATAAACTGCGTTCTCCCAGACTTCTCCCCAGACGTTCATCGCTGGACACACGTGCACAGCACAGCCCACTCGGTTGGTGGTTGCCCAGACCAGCTGCAATGAGGAAAAGCAAATAAATGGCCAAAATTAGTTAGCACTTGGATTTTCTAAGTAAACACAGTGCACAGAAAAGTCAACTGCAAAACTCATGCTCTGGCATCCTTGTTTTATAGTTTAAATCTACAGAAACAAGTGGGAAGAAACATTTGCTGCAGTGCAGTTACAGACAAATTATGTGCCATTTGATGGGAAGTACAATGCAGCATGTTCCAAAAACCTCCCCACATCTTCCTCTCAAACATGTGCTCTCCCTCCTCAAGAATGTTCACCTTTTTCCTTGTATGCTTAGGGGCCTCTGGAGATACTGAGTCAGCACATAGACTGACAAATCCTGGTAAAACCAGCAGAGGTTGCAATGAAGTGTGACTGCTCAAACTGCAGATACATCAAAGAACTGTAAGACGGCAACGCGTTGAGGATGCTCAGATTTGGCACTGCCTCCTTGTCAGTATCTTCAAAGGCCTCCGGGTCAAGCAGTGCAGGATGTCTGGTGTGTCTGACTGCCAGATGAAAGTGATCAGGTTTCAATGTGGGCAAAGAGTGAAGGGAGGATGTGTTTTTGTTTTTATAAAATTGTTTCAGTGGCTACAGAGCAAAGTTTTAGGGATGTGAATGCCAGCTCTTCTCATTTCCCAACTTTTTGTACTGGGTTTGTATTTTGCTTACTAATTAAGGACAAAGGCCACTTTATTAAAACACCATATACATTATACAAGATTTGTCCTACCTGGGTATAGTGGGTGCACATGGGACCGGAGCAGCGTTCTGGGCACCATGGATTGCACTCGTGAGCGTAGGGATACGTGTAATCTTTTACCTCATCGTACCAGGCCTGAACATGGAAGGCAGGCGAGCGGTATCTGCAGGGTCAGTGCACACACACAAGCAGACAACAGTAGGCTCAGTCAAAGGCCATCCAGCTACCAAGTGTGAGGGGGAAATATTAAAAGGAGCTGCCAGGTGCTTTGGCCAGACTCAAGAAACACTGCAAGAATCTCCTCCTCCCTTTTCAGTCCTCAGACATTGAGTTCAAATGTGAACCAGTGCAAAGAACTGCAGACTGTTCCCAAGTAACAAGGGAAATTAAATCAAGATTTTTTTTTTTTAAATGAGTCAAATCTAAACATGGCTTTATAGCCCAATAAATCAGTTTGAACTGTTATTATAAACATCTCATTTTACAGTGTTGAAAATGCTGAGCTAGCAAATGGAGAGGGGGTGGGCGATGACTCAACATTAGGGGTTTTCTGGCAGAGGGACTTTAAAAAAGGGAAGTAGAGAGATGAAACTGAGGCTGGAAGAATGGGAGCAGATTCCTGGAAGGGCACCTGCTGCAAAGCCAGATGTTGTTTCACACAGAAGCCAGCTGTGCCTGTTCACTTGGGGACATGTTCTCATGCCACAGTGCAGGTCTTTACTTTCCTCCACAGATTCTGGATGAAATTGACATTTAGGAATGGGCTCTAAGATCTTATTATCATTCAATGTATAATATTTCATGAAGTTCCAGCTCATTTTTATGTTCTGATATGGGGGGAAATTCGTTTACTAGCTGACGGCTTACGAGAAAATCCTAGTGTCCTTCTGTGCATGAAATGTCAAAAGTGCAAATAATAACGCAGGTTGTTGAGGTTTTATGGCCAGTTCTGACGTTCAAAGGGAGATAATTCATCTGCCAGCATCTAAAGGTGCCAATGTCTGTAGTAACCAACACAAACCTGTTAAAGCTTCCCTAATATTTGGAAAACTACAGATTTGGGGGAAGTTTAAAGCTTTTTTTTTCTTGGCTTCATTTAGCTAAAAAAGGAAGGAACCACCCGAGTAAAAGTAAAAACATAGAGGTCATCCAGGGTCAAGAACTAGAAGTCATCCCAAACAGAGGACAAGTCCAAAATCCCACGACTGCATTTACAAGAACTGTTTTGTTTTTTGTTTGGGGGTTGCTGGAATGACAAAGAACGGACTTTTCTGCTGATTAATACGTTTCAGTAAAAATATGAGCACAGCACAGAAACAGTCAGACGTAATAAAACAAAATCTGCCCCTTATTTCACAATCAGGTCTGGAGCAAATTAGCAGAAAAATTGACCAATAAACTAAAATTCCCATCTGTTAGGTCAGTGGTTCCCAACCCTGGTCCCTGAGGAACACCGTCCTGCATGTTTCAGTTACTTTCTCCTCTGACACACCTGATTCAGTGAGTTAATTACTTCCTCGAGTTCTGCAGAAGTCAGATAATCACCCATTCATTCAAATCAGGTGCGTCAACGCAGGGAAACAAGCAAAACATGCAGGACGGTGTTCCTCAAGGACCAGGGTTGGGAACCACTGCCTTACGTAATTGAAATAAGAACCTGAATCTTTAAAGTGGCATCTAAAACATTCCAGTTTATTTCACATTTAGTTTAGACAGATTAAACATTTTACTAGTGCTTTCATTCTTAACTTTATAGTTAGGTTTTACACATTTCATATTTAGTATGTCTGGGAACGCAGTTAATTCTCACCTGCCCCAGTGAACTGCCAGGTTCTGTCCAATCGACCGAAGCAGGTCCTGAGGCCCGTGGTCCCACTGACACACGTCTGCCCACTGAGTGGCAGATCGCTCCAACTCATCATCCCAAACCTGCAAACACACATTTGTCTCAGTTCACTGCAGAAACGCAAAGACTTTGCAACAATCTCCAGAGACTCGGTAAATTATTAGCTCCGGCCTCTTCCAGGCCTCTCCTCCTACACTTCCTTCCTAATAAGCTGAAAGGAGCTGCGCACACTAAACGTCAGCGATGACATTCAAACTGGGCTGCTGGCGCCCAGCCCCGGTCCACCAAAGATCTCCAGCAATCACGCCTGAATGATCCACATTTCCTGAGTGGAATTTTTTGAAACAACAATGCAGGAGAGGGAAGAGAAGACACTCGACTCCCACAGTGGAGAGAAGAGCAAAAACAAAAAAAAAGTAGTAAGGACTCCGTGCAGCACGGCCCCTCAAAGTACATCCCCTCAGTAAATTTCCAGCCTTTCGGTGGTAATTAAAACATGCGCACACAGACACCGCTGTTACCCCAAACACCCTTTTGCCGATGCTAACACACGCTCGTCCTGTTCTCTGGAACATGAGAGCAGAGTAAATCCAGAGAGTTTCCTCCGCTCTGTGACCACAGGCTGCTGCCGATTCTCCACTTCATGGAACAGGTTGTGAGGGATCTTCTGTGTATCAACAACAATCCCTCACCCTCTTTCAGGCAGAAATGTTCCACGCAGGCCTTTAGTTTCCCCACCAGCCCCTCACCCTCCTGTGTTCTCCCGAGCAGAGCTGTTTGCAGGTAGGACAGAGTCAGCATTATTATGTTGCCTGTAAACGACTGGCACAGCGGGCCTGGCAGCACGTCAGGCTTCATGACTGCATGTTTCCAGCTGAGGAGATTGTTTTTATCCCATCTCCACTTTTCTGGGCAAAATAAAATCCTAATTACAGGCCTTGTTTTGTCGCTCGTTAGTGCCGAGACAGAACACTTTTGATCTTTACGTGTTTAAAGTATAAATGTGGTTTAATGTAACAACGTCTCACCATATACTCCATGTCTGAGGCTGTGGGGTAAACGCCGCCTCGCAGCTTGTTGTGCAGCTGCAGAATCTCTTCGCGGTCCGACCAGAGAATGGCTCGCCGGGTCCTGTTCCCAGCTGCGCTGCTCGCACCATTCTGGTCAGCTTCCTGCTTGTGGCGACTCAGCAACTCCCTCAGTTCCTTGGAGTCGGGCAGGAAGAGGGAAAATGTGTCCGTGATGCAGACCAGGAGGAAGGTGACGAGCAGCCAGGCTGAAGCAGAGTGGGTCATTCTGACACCTTTGGCTGTCTGAGTTTTTCTTTCAGACTCAATAGACCACTCAGGGTGCAACACACCTGAAGAGAATAAACATTTAATTATTACTAAGCGTCAAGGTTATAAAAAGAAAATGTACCCAGACATATAAAACAGTTATGCTTCCAGCAAATGCCAGAAACAATCTTAGTGAGTAAAACTTTTATTTATCAAGGTGGGATTAAAATATCACATTACTGCCTTATATTGTTACCAACACTGATTTTGTCTTCTGTTAGACATAAGTAACGTGACAGGGAGCAACATCCACGGAAGAGCCGTTCGAGTATCGGTTCACATTTATGCTCATATTTGTGGAGTAAAGTATGCAGACAGGTTTTTAACACAATCTAAGGCCAGCCTCATCATGTGACCCAGCTTCCACCGTGGTTTCGGCAAAGTGCTTTGTTCACATCAAGTTCTGAGAAAAAAAGTACACGAATAAACGCTTTCGAACTGCATCTGGAACAGTTAAGGATAACTTTAGGTTTTATTTTTACCTTTAAAGCTGCTCAGTGAGTCCTTCGATCAGCTTTTACTGTTCATTTCTTGAAAACTTGTTTTTTTTTCCAAGTCATTTTTAATGCAATATGAGTGATTATTCTACATTTGTCTGACTTTTCTCCTGTGAGTAACAAGGTGGTCTAAAACTCAAACAGTTTCATAAAGAAACGGTTCAGTGATCAGAGATGAACAGAAATAGATGAACTAAGCCCTAACTTGCACCGGTTGCTCCCGTCTTTGAATCCTTTCACCCTTTTCCCTTTGGCTGTAAAGGCTGGAGGTCTGGCACCGTCTCTGTGTCAACACGCTGTGCCAGGCTCTGGGCACCACACCCTTCTCCTCCCCCTGTGCCATGTCTCCCCACTCAACCTCCACCAGGTTCTCCGTTTGGGCTCTTCTCGTGCCTCTCATACATTTTATACCAGAGTGACAGACAGAGGAGACATGTCCACATTTCCTTGTGGGGTCTTCTGTGCCACGACTGACTCCTGTCTGATTTATTTCCCCGCCCTCACCTCAGGACTGGATACAAATACTAATAAAAATAAAAAATACCTGTTTGATTACTGGTTACATTTAGCTATTTAAGCTGCTTCTAAAAACATTGATCAGCTTTTGTGTTTTATTTTTCTCAATAAGATAAAATGTAACTTTTACATAATTTAAAAGCACCTAATAACCCACAGCTTAAATGTATTTTTAGTATTTTCAGATGAATGTCTAATTATACGCCACAATTAGACAGAATACATCAGTCAGCACAATTTCTGTTAAACAACAACAACAAAAAACGTTGAAATAGTTTCAAGTTAAAAGTGTTTAATCTCACCTTATGTTCAGCTGATGGAGAACTTCAGTGGAGCTTCCAGTGCGAGCTGCGTTATTTCTTTATTCCTGTTGCTGCTGCTCGAGCTGCGTTTTGGCGATGTTCCTGAGACGCACGAGCTGTGATTCCTGTGTAACTCTCAGTGCCTTATATAGCTAGAGGAGACCCCTGATGAGCGGGGGGGTGGAAGAAAAAATGACTCTCCACTCCCCAGCCTCCCTGTTCTTGGCACACACCGCGCCGTGCGCAAACCGATGTCAGGAGGAGACTTTAAGAAAATAAATAAGTGATGTAAATCATCTTACTGTCAAACCAGTCGGCAGCAGGCAGTTTGATCCCTGATGTATCTTTACAATAATTACATAAAATCAAGCAAAGGATCCACCATTTGCAGATTTAAGATTTAATTCAATTTTTATTTTTTCATTGAGACCCAGCTGATAGACAGGAAAAATTACTTAGCAAAGAACCAAAAATTAATCAATTCCATTTAACTTTCCAGTTCATAGGCAGAACATAAAGAGGGGGGAGGACATGATCCAGTGTTTTTTTTTTTGTTTTTTGCAGAACTGTTGTGTGACCCAAATAGTTCACATTGTTTCTACCATGCTCTCATTTCTTTTTTAACCAACCCAGATATTTACAATTGAATGGCCAGGCAGGAGGACAACCAGCAAGCTGTCACGAGGCCATCGTGGGCTCTGAAGAGTACAAATAAAGCAAGTTTAGATCATAATATCTCAGCCGTCCTCAAATATTATATAGAAATGCTTAAGGAGTGCAGTGATGCTCTGTAGAGACAAAGATGGAGCCTCTGGTGCGCACCAAAGACATTCTAGCTACAAATATCTTCCATTTTCCAAGTTGAACAACGACTGTGCTGCAGAGCTCGTCATCAGAAATGCAAGTGTGCATTGAACAACTGTCCTTTGGTAAGCTAATCCAACTGTCCTTTGGTAAACTAACCCAACTGTCCTTTGGTAAGCTAATCTGTTCTCTACAAGGGTTTTTGATTGCAAACCTAGTCTTTACATCAGATCACATCCGTTACTCGTTTCCTGCACTTTTTCAACATGTGACACATGCAGAGAATCATTTATCACGTAAAAAATAATGCAAACATTAAAAGAATCCCCAGTAGTTTATGATTTTGCAGAAGCTGTTGACAAGTTATTGGATAATGAACTCATCCACACATGGTCCTCTGCAGTTTTCATAAGTATCAGATAACAATCGTTTGATCAGATTATCAGTTATATAGACGATCTTAACATCTAACAAAGTTAAGTCAGGTCCTCTGGATGAATGCAAAAAGTAAAAAAAAAAAAGTTTTTTTTTTAAATTGTTGAAAAGTTTCATCTTTAATCCCAAAGACTTCTTCAGTCTGAGGAGCTGCGATAAACTCAATCTTATAAATAACATCAAAGTCCATGCTCAATAATCCAGGTATAAAAATCCAACAATGTTCAGTCAGGTCATCTGGACAGTTTCGTAAATAACAAAATAAATAAATAATTTCTCAGAGTGGATCAACCAGTTTGTTGTTGAAAGTCAAAACTAGCTGTTCACGATACAGGAGGACCATCAGCCTAACGAATGATCGTTAGTGCCCTGATGGCCGCTTGCTATTCACAGTTGAACATGGAGGCTCCACCCCTGTTTAACGATGGACGATTTCTTTTCACAAAGATGGCCTCCTTTACTCCTCTCTCAAACCATCGTTCCTCTCTGTCCAGGATGTGAACATCTTCATCCCTGAAAGAGTGACCGCTGGCCTGGAGATGAGTGTAGACCGCAGAGTCCGATGATGTTGATCTTCTGTGCTGGTCCATGCTTTTGGCCAGTGGCTGTTTAGTTTCCCCGATATAAGACTGATCACCCGCCTGACACTGAACAGCATACACAATATTACTCAGTTTAAGACAGGGGTCTGGATCTTTGGGATGAACCAGTCTTTAATGTATTTTGAGGTTTAAAAGCCACTGGGACGTTGTGTTTAACAAATAAACGTCTGTTTCTCTGAAACTCCTGCAACATACGGAAGGACCACGGGTCTGGGTTCCTCCATCTCAACATCAACAGAATCCAGTTTTTCTGTCTTGCAGACTTCTTCCCACTCTTGACGGGTTGCACACGGAGACTGCTGCCTGCGTCCCGTCCTTCACCAACGATGGGTCACATTTACATTTTGAACTCAAAATATAGGAAAAGTTACGAACTAATAACGGTTACTTTTAAATTTAGGTATTTTGTTTCTGAAAACAAATATGAAGTTAGTAAAGTGACCCAAAACGTATTTAATTTTGTTCTTTTATGAAACAAACCATTAAAAAAAAAAAATCCAGTTTGAGATTTTTTTAGTTTATATTAGTTGCAAAATGTGACATTTTAAGGAGCCATTCTTGCACGGCAGTTCATGAACGATCAGCCACATATGGCATTTAAACAGCGTGGAGACCAATCAAAGTACATTATGACGTAAGAAATGAAATGTTGACTGGTCAGCTTTAAAACCTTATGGAGCAGCTGCAGCAAAAGCTGAATGACTATTTTCAGAGCTTTCCTTGAGTGAAAGGTTGAATCAGATCGTTCCTCTTGCAGGTGTTAAGGAGGCCGTGGGAGTCCGACTGTCCGGTTCATGGGTTTGTTGTGTAAACCTGAGGAAGGCTTACAACTGTGCTCCTCTAAGCATCTTGTGAGGGGTGCTGCAGGTGCTGTGGTAGCTTTTGAAGGCTCTCCAGTTGCTGTTTAGGAGCCCTGTTCACATTCTTGGCAAAAAAAGATTTGAGCTCATTCCCAGTGCAGACTGGGCTCTGCCATGCCTGGCCCCCCGTCTCCGATCCTGTTTGAATCTTAACAGGAAACCATTTGGTTTGGGAACGTGGGGGTGTCACCTCCCATTTTTACAGGTGACGTGGTTTTGTTGGGGGTTCTCAGCTCATGCACTGGAATGGTTTGCAAGCAGAGATGATTTACAGGTCTCTACTGAAAATGACTCTTGGTGACTCAATGAGACTAACCTGTACAAATAAAGGTTGAATGAATGTGAGTCTGCATTATTAGGTCTGTGGTCATGGTTCAACCTGAAAAAGTGATGCTTCCTCCAGCTTGGGGGCAAGAGCCTGCTGCGAGCAGAGGAGTGAGTGAAAGCATCTTGGGGTTTTGTTGACAAGTTATGGGAGGATAAAACCAGAGCTGGACTTACGGATCAGGACTTCAACTTGATGGAAAAACTAAATATTCCTAATGGCCAGGACTACCTTGTGATTTCCCAAGAGGAGCTAGTGTGTTGCTGGAGATAGGCACGGTTTCAGTCCTTGACCTGATGCTCCACAACCAGACCCCAGATGACAACATACAAAGTGAAGAATGGATGAATCTTTGGTGCTTTCATCTGACAGAAGACACCGCACCAGCTCGAGTTGTGCAGAACAAGCAGAAGCTGAGATAGTTTTCTGTCAGTTTGAGTCTTCCTCTCTTGTTCTAGAATTGCGCCGCTCCAGGTGTCTGCATGTTGGAGCAGCTCTGTTACTTTCATTCTGAGATTTTGCTTTTGGAAACTGTAATTCCTCTTTCTCTGGATGTAAAAATCAAATTTTTTTGGATGATTGTTTCCTCTGGTGTCGGATGCTGTGCAGCTGGAAGGATTTTTACTGAAACTTTTTTAGTTTTGGACATTTGTTATGATGCGTAACCATGGCAACAAGGCGGTTTTCTACAGCCAACAGCTGATTAACATCTCAAAAGCTCAAATAATCTCAACTACAGCCCCAAATCTCAAATGAATTGAAAAGGATGTTCTGTGGATGCATTCACATCTACCTGCCAGCTGTGCTCGAGTGCCTGACCAATGAGATCCTGGAACTAGCAGGAAACACGGCTCGTGACAGCGGAAGGACAGGATCGGCTTTATATGTGAATGTTCCTGTAAAGTGCCCTGAGACAACTTTGTTGTGATTTGGCGCTCTATAAATAAACTGAATTTAATTGATCGTCCCTCGGCACCTACAGTTAGCTGTCCGCAGCGACGAGGAGCTCGGCAGACTGCTGGGAGGAGTTCTGCCCGGCATTCGGGAGGTCCTACAGCCCGGTGGAACCAAGAGGCCAGCCGAGTCTGGGTGGACGGATCGGACGGCATCTGCAGCCAGTTTCTTAGGATCCACTGTGGGATGGACCTTTACAAGAGATCCTTCCTGCCTACAGCCATCAGCATCTATAAACATCTCTTAATGAAATGAGGATAACGAGTTACAACTAATAATTTCCCTTTGGGATTAATAAAGTATTTTTGAATTTGAATTGAATTATATTTGCTCTTATTTGATAAATGTCCTTAGTGGGCATAGAATATCTAAAAGTTTGTAAGAATGTTTTTTTTTGTTGTCTTTTTGGTTTCGAGGTGGTTATTTAGATCATGAATAGCACTGAGCTGAGTGAAGTTCAGATATCAGAGGATCCTTATCCTTTAGGCTTATCTATTCAGTTTTCTGTACAACCACTAATGGCTAAATTATCCATTGCTGCACATTTTTCAGTCCTGAGGAAGCCAGTTTTGACTGTCTAGCAGTGACTTATCTTAGTGCTGGTTACTTGTTTTTCCTAGTTCGTTCCCCCCCTCAGAGAAATGTCATTACTCAGCTTCATCACATTTAACTCAGTGCAAGACAAATGGACACTGGAAACAACTTTGCTGCAAGAAAAAAACTCAATAATTACAGTATACAATTTTAAAACTAAAATGTTTTTTACGGAACCATCATATACAGTGGGGAAAGTATTCGAAACACTGTGGATTTTGCAAGTTTTCCCACCTACAAAGGATAGAGAAGTCTAATTTTTATCATAGCTACACTTCAGCTGTGAGATAGAATCTAATTATATATATACAGAAAATCACATTGTACGAATTTAAATACCAGTAAATTATTTGCATTTTACTGCATGAAATAAATATTTGATACGATAAACAGAACTTACTATTTGGTACAGAAACCCTAGTTTGCAGGAACAGGTTTGGACACTGCAGCAGGGACTTTGGCCCACTCCTCCAGACAGATCTTCAGATCTTTCAGGTTTCGGGGCTGTCGCTCGACTTTCAGCTCCCTTTAAACATTTTCCATAAGGTTCAGGTCTGGAGACTGGCTAGGCTACTCCAGGGTCTTGAAATGCTTCTTACAGCACCACAGCTGCCCTGGCCGTTTCAGGTCATAACCCATCGTCAGTGCTCTCATCATGTCCGCTTTGCAGAAAAGCACCCCTAAAACATGATGTTTCCACCCCCACGCTTCATGGTTGAGATGGTGTTCTTGGGGTTATACTCATCCTTCTTCTTCCTCCAAACACGGAGAGTTGATGATAACAAAAAGCTCCATTTTGATCCATCTGACCACAATCTTCTCCCATGCCTCCTCTGGATCATGCAGATGGTCATTGGTGGAGTTGAAACGGGCCTGGACATGTGCTGTCGTGAGCAGAGACACCTTGCATGCCCTTCAGGGTCTTAAACCATGATGTAGTGTTATTAATGATCTCCTTTGAGACTGTGATCCCAGCTCTCTTCAGGTCATTGCCCAGGTCCTCCCATGTAGTTCTGAGATGATTCCAGAACTTTCTCAGAATCTTCCTTACCCCACAAGGCGATATCTTGCATGGAACCCCAAACTAAGGAAGGTTGACAGTCATCTAGTGCTTCTTCCATTTTCTAATAATTGCAACAACAGTTGTCTTCTCAACAAGCTGCTTGCCTGTTGTCCTGTAGCCCATCCCAGCCTTGTGCAGGTCTAGTTTAGTCCCTGCTGTTCAGCTCTTTGGTCTCGACCATGGTGGAGAGGTTGGAATGTGATTGTGGACAGGAGTCTTTTATACAGGTAGCCACTTCAAACAGGTGCAATTGCAATTAATCAATTAATACCTGATGATTGCAGGAGGGCTTCTTCAAAAAATAAAAAAAAAAAAAAAAAAAAAAACAACCGGATAGTCAGAATTCTTGATGGTTGGTAGGTGATAAATACTTATTTCATGCAATAAAATGCAAATTAATTTATAAATTATTTATATATATATATATATATATATATTTTATATTTTTTCATGTTCTCATTTTGATAAATAACTGGAGGGAACCCATGAGGAAAGATGCACAAATGTGGAGTTGAGGGGAATAAATACAAAAAACATACGAACGAGGCTGATTAAAAAAACAAACCAGAGGAGATGGAACAGGAAATGCATAAAAACACTTGAGTTCAGAGGTTTAGAATCAGTGGAATGATAAATACAGACACTGTGTGGAAAACCCAGTAGCTCAAGGTTTTTACATTTGTGATTTAAAAAGACTCAAGAGATCACAACTGCAGGTAGGTAAAACCTGACCATCTCGTATAAGGGTTGAATGCGTATACATGCTTAGAACATGTATGTGGTTTTACCAGTAAACTGAATAAAAAGAAAAATATGTATATGTATAAATACGTATGCCAAAGTTTTAGAACTGGCAACTTGATACGTTTGCTCTATGGTTACTGTGCTTAGTGCTGCTCACAAAGATAATTTAGTTATGGTAATTAATAACCGTGTGCTTTGATTTTGTCACTTTAAATAGAATTTTAAAACGCACACAAAACTATATTGCTCTTAGAAGCTGTAACTGAACAGCACTTTCATAAAAGTATTTAATGGGCATGTGCTTTTGTTAGAAACGCGTAGACGTTACATTTAAAAGGGAAAAAGGTCCGACAGTTTTAGAAACCCACTTAAAAAGACACGAGGAGGAGTAGGCAAATTTACATGCATCAACCTAAAGGCAAGGCTTTACGGGCTGGTGGTGCATCTGCAGGAATCAAACATGCAATTTTCTTCCTCGGGCTACATGCCTATAAAACAAGACACGACTGCCTTCGCACGTTAAAAATACGAAGGATACCGATGATTGCAAGTTTCTGAGGAACGTTTCAAAGAACGGCGCGGCTACAGTGAGGAATAAATAGCATGGAACGCTACATGCTAGTGTGGAAAGAACAGAAAAAAATCTTACAGGGCAAATTTTTCAATGATGGGTCTGCTTTCCATTAAACCAAAGCGAGGTAAGCTCTGCCACAACCCCCACAAACCCTGTGGGCTCTGAAGCTGCCAGCTAGACCTCAGGAGGAGACACGACGGATGACAAATGCACGTGAAGACAGTTAGAAGAAAGCAATTAAAAATATGCAAAAGACCAATAATCTAGATTATTTTGGTTTATTGTGCACATTGTTGTGTAGGCCAGTCCAAAGTCTGGAGGTTGCAACGTTCTTCAGTATCGACTATAAGAAGAAAGCCAGGTACTCCTCAGATTACACTTGATCAGCAAACTGCTTTGTGCACAATCCTTTATTTGAACATTAAAACAAAACAGGATGCTGAAGGCTCAAAATTAAAAGACAATAGATTTTTTTGTTGTTGTTTTAAAGGTCAATATCCCAACAGTACCCAGCAGACAGTAGTGTTTGGAGCACACACTGAAAAACATCATTGAAGCTCTTCATCAGCACGTTCCTGACCCGTCAACAAGGCGCCAAGCTGAACCAAACAGAAAAGTCCAGGTGTCCATTTTAAATCCCCATCTTGGAAACATTCTTCGAAAGGTGAAATAAAATATGCAATCAACAATGTCACTTTTTTTTTTTTTTTTGCAGAAATAAAAGCCAGCAGCACAACTGAAGTGGAAGCTGTGTTGAACCAGTGGTTTACAGAGCATGCCGTTTCCTTTGTGCACCGAATGGACAAGGCAAAATAAAGTTGGAGCACTGACTCTATGAAAGGCAGTAGGGCTGATGTGATAATGTCCTTTGGTTTACCTGAAAATGTTTCCGACTTTAAAACCCACAAGATAAATGACACTTTGCATCACATATTTATGCTAAAATATAGAATTTTAATCCAATAGACAATTTGCTTTAAACTAAAGTAAGCTTTCAGATGTTATTTCACTTTGACATTGCTATAAAAAAAAAAAAAAAAATTTACAATATGCTGCACCTTTTCTGGAAAACTGATCCAGTCTCGTCTGCGACTCGCTTTACTAAAACTGGCATGAGCAAAAATAAACAACACACAACGTCCACAGGAGACTCGAAAGAAAAAATGGAATTAAAACGACCAAATTATGGAGCAAACTTTGAGCTCTTTTAACACTGAAGTTGATAATTGTTGGGAACAATCTGGTCTGTCTGGAGTAATCATGGGAATGATTAAAAAAAAAAAAAAACAACAAAGGCAAATAAATACCAAGCAAATAACTAATTTATTTGTATTTGTGCTTTAGCCTGTTTATTTTCTTCTCAAACTTCAATTTCATTGCAAGCATATTTTTCTGAAGGGAGCAAGAGCAGAAGGACATCGAACAAGTGATCGACAACAAAAAAAACTAACTTTCGTTACGTAAAACAAAAATTATCACAATGAGCAAAAAATAAAACAAGGAAAAGCAAACGCCATGTCCTTTTGTGTGCGTTCATCTGTAGAGCTAAGCACGGTCGTAGTTCAACTTCCCCCTGCCTTCCATCGTTACGCCAAACCAAGATTAAATATAGAAACCTTTAAATCTTCATACCTGCTTTCTCTTCTGTAAAGGGGAGAAGATGGCGGCTCAATAACACCCCGCCAACCCACCAATAAACAGGTGGATCCTTTTGACAAGCCAAAAAAAAAAATATCTAACAAGCAGTGGAGAAAGAATAGATGGACAAAAATGTACAAAGTAATCAGGAGCAGGTTTTGCACTGGAATTTTCTTTGATCAGTCGCTGTGTCTCCAAAGCAAGAATTAAAAACTGGCACAGTCTTCCAGGACACGTACAGATTTTCGGTCAGCAAGAAACATATTTTTTTGCTCCTTAAGTTTTTTTTTTTTTAGGTTTTACTTTTTTTTTTTATTTAGATATCTGAAATATGCATTTGCCTGTCATTTTGTGCACAGAAGCTTATTTTGTATTTAGATTCTAAAGCGCATTAATAATTATTTTTTTTTAATTCACAATAGTCTAAATCTAAACCCAAATACCATAAGAAATATATTTCAAAACAAGGAAGCTGTAAAGTTCACATTTTATACGCCACGTGGTTTTCTTTCTGCTTTTGATGGCTCGAGTTGTACCTTTAAAAGCATCATAAAAGTGAGGACATGTAGGAGGAAGAGCAGAGAACAACAATCTGGTCTTGGGGGGAGAGACCCATGATACTGCTGGTGCTGGGCCTTTTCATGGGCAAACGAACGGTAAGCTTTCAAACTGCTGCAAATTCATCGGGCCAACAGTTCTCCTTTAATAAAAGGCAAACACTGATATCACTGGGTTATTTCCACAAATAAGGAGTTTGCACAGGTAGATTCCCTCTGCAGTCCACTTTCAGACTGTGGTAGAGACGTAGCTCCTCCTGTGCGAGTTCACTGTTGGCCATGAGAGCCAAGAGCCTCGGTCTGGGGCAAGTCTTAGGTTCAAACCTGCAACCCTAACCTCACCTTTGTCAATTCGACAGTCCTTCCTTGCTGCTTTAAAATTAAACAAAAAAATAAAAGAGAGGAAAGAAAAAAAAAACTGCAACGATGTGCAGAAAAAAAAAAAAGAGAGCAGTCACAGGAAAACTGTTGTGAACGCAGCTTGCTTCTCTTCTTTTGAAAATTAAAAAATAAAAAAACGGTGACGAGGAGAAAGGCGTTGGAAAGCTGGTTTTCAGGAAAGCGGAGACGGGAGGGAAGAATAGGAAAATCTTGCAAAACAAGTTGGGCAGTGTTCCTGTTTATTAGTTTGGTGTGTATTTCGTTAGATGTAGACGCACTGTCAACAAATGCACCTTGACATGTCTGTTAGGTGTGTGCGTGTTTGTGAATGCGTTCGGATATTCTTGTGTGTGTAGGGGGGGGGGGGTGTCTACAGCAGGTCGACGCGGCGGTAGTACAGCAGGTAGGCGGTGCGCTCAGTAGTCTGCTTCACCACCTGATACTGGGCGATGACCTTCACCGTCTGGTCGTCAATACGCAGCCAGCCGTTAAGACCAATGTGGAAGACGTCAGTGGTGTAATGTCCGCCTGTTGCGCTGTTTCCATGGTGATAAACAACTGGTTTGAATGAGAGAGGGAGGAAATCAAAAGTCAGAAACGTGGACAATATTTACGATCGTTTAACTTATAGACAAAATATTTTCCACACTGAAAACGATTTACGAAAGTATGCAAAAGAACAACCAGTTAGTAATAAATGTGATCAAATAAAAGAATATATAACCCACCTGCAAAGAGCCTGTACGTTCTTTGGCCTTTCATAACCTTGCTTCGGACTCCAGAGGACAAAAGGTCTGAAAGGAAAGTTTTTCTTTTTTAAAACACTAAATTATAATTTTATGAACTATAATTACACACAGAAAGAGATGCACCTTGTGCTCCTGGTAGCTTGCTAAGGGTTATTCTTCATAAAAAAAAAAAAACAATGTAAGAATTCAATTTAAAACGAATTAAACAAAACGCCTAACGCGAGATGTAAATGATTTAAAATTAAAAGACGAGAGACAAACGTGAACGTGCAGATACAGAACGTTCGTTTTATTTGTTACGTGCAAAACCAACACCAGGTCAACAACACGATGAAATGCTTAGGACGAGAAGAACCGTCTCAACTGGCCAAAAAAAACTAACAAGAACTATCAAAGCGTGCAGCAAAAACACTTCAAACATACTAAAACATACAATTTATTTTTTTAAATACTAAAAAACAAGGTGACCAGGTAAGAAATATAAAAGAAATATGAATAGTTTAACAAATCTTACCGTCACTGTGACCCACATTTGTGCATTTATTTTTAACAAAACATCAAGCTAACCACAAAAATACTGGTTTTAAAGCATTTAAATGTTTCATTTGAATGAAGTTAATTTGTCTTTATGGCAGATTAAAAAAAAAAATACACTATTTGAAACCCTCTTATCCTGTAGTTTTGATTTTTATAAGAAAAATAAATCATGTGCTTTTGTTTGTTTTTTGCAGATTAAACAAATTTACAAAGATTATGACGAGGATGAGAAATAGTTCTCAAACTAAAACTTCAAAGCTCTGGTTCTGCGTGTAAAGTGTGTGTTCCCTTTCCATAAATAATAACAACGGAGTGAGCAGAACAACTCGATGCACTCGAAGAACCAGCGGGTCAGACTCCGCAGGGTTCATGCATACCTTTGCTGATTTCCAGGTCAACAGGGTAATCGATGTTCTTCGTCAATTTCTGGCAGCCTCCGGTCTTTTCAAAAACAAATCTTTTGAGGTGAAGCACCAACACGGGCGGCAGCTCTTCCAACGTTACCTTCCGACTGATCTCAATCTGAAAGCAAACGCATAAACACGAGACGCACCGAGAGTCAGACGGCGTCTACCGACAGTCCCAGAACATTACCCCGAGTTACAAAGTGTCTTAAAACACTTTGGAACAGCAGATTCAAGATAAAAGCCAATAAAACTCTTGAAACGGTTAAAAGCTTAAAGATGTTTAAAAGAACAAAGCAAAGGACCAAAAAAAAAGAAACATTTTGTTAAATTCACAAGAGCTTGTGGAGCCACTCAAAGGACACAAATCACAAACTTCTGTACTTTAGATAAAAGCAAAGAGACAAGTTGTGGATTATAGTTATTTGTCTCTAGAATAACTTTAAAAAAAGTTTTATCTTTTATAACCAACCCCCCCCCAAACACAGCTGTGATGCAGATGTTCGTTTCAGCTGAATGTTCACAAACATTTTTACTCAACAGTCTGGGTGTCTGTGCTGAGGCTCCTAAACAATCAGAACAATAACCGTGAAAGAAAAGTCTGCAGGAAGTGGACGGGCCACGGGGACGTCGTGTAATTCTCACCCACTCGGTGCTTTCACAGAACGTCGTTACAACTTTTTGGGCTCTTACGGTTAGAAAACGTCTTTTTAGTGAGCAGTTCCAACATGCAGGGAAAAGTTTGGCCGTACCAGCTCAGAGTAAAAGGAACAGTCAACTTGGTCACCTCACAACTAGGCCTGTCGCGATAACAAATTTTACTGGGCGATTAATTCTCTTAGAAATTATTGTGTTTTAAATTAGACTGTAATTAGTAATTGCTGTCAAATTTAAGAAGAAATGTTGGTTAATTTGTTTTGAGTGTAATACCTTTTTTTGACCACTGGATGGCAGTACAAGACTGAACTGAAGGATGGATAGTGAGGGAGCGAGCAGCATGTAAATGGTAAATGGACTGTACTTATTTAGCGCCTTTCTATCTTATTTCAAAACACTCAAAGCGCTTTACACAACAACCTGTGCCTCAGTTACCCATTCATACAGCTCTACTAGATCTCTACAAAGCTAATTGAACAAATCATTCTAAAGAGACTCATCAGTGCTCCATGACATTCATGCACCGATGGGACACACATCAGAGGCGATGAGGGGTTCAGTGTCTTGCCCATGGACACTTCGGCATGTGACTGCTGGTAGATTTGAACCCACAACTCTCGCACTGGAGGACAACTGCTCTAACCACTCAGCCACAGCCGCCCCTTTAAGAAAAATGGGAGGGAGGCCCCTTGACGTGACATGGGCTCTCTCTCCTTCCTTTTTGTCGGTTCTCAAAATGGCGGACGCTCTGTGTTGTTTGAGCTCTTTAGCATAGCATTTTTCACACAAAGCTTTAAAAAAAAAAAATTTTTAATCAGTAAACAAGTTCTCAGCTTCTTTTTTCCATAGAAAACAACTTTTTACACGAAGGCACCGGCTTCAAACGTGAATTTTGGAGCTTCGACAAGACGGAGGTTTTCGCCCTGAGGTCGGCCTGTTAGCTTTTAGCTTAGCTTCTCAGCAAAAACGTGATTTTGGACGGTTGAAACAGATTTTAAAGAGAAAGGGAGGGGTCAGTGAAGAGCACCGGAGTTGAGCCTTTTTGTCATCCAGTGTCTTCAATAGAAAGAGAGATGAACTTCATTTCATTTTATTTTATAGATATACTTTTTAAAATGTTTTTTTATACCGCTATAGTACAATTTAACAGTTTCATACTTTTGTTATTTCATTTTATGCTTATGTTTATTAAATGTTTTCATGTTAAATGGTTATTGTTGCACCGGGGTCTGAGAGTAATGTAATTTCAATCCTGCGTATGTCCTGTAAATACTGAAGGTTTTGACAATAAAGTGACTTTGACTTGACTTTTTTTGAAGAAACAATAAAGCCGATAAATGAAAATGAGGTTGATAATGTGAGATTTATCATGCGATTAATTGATTGACTGTTTATTATGCTGCATTCACTGTAAACAGAAGTGGGGGAGTCATTTAACGATGCTGCTGTTTTGCTGTGCTTTTACTGAAGGCAGGTTTTCAGAATTACAAGACAAAAGAATGAACCCACATTCAAGTTCAGAGTTTACAAAGCCAATCTGTGACAAGCTTTTCAGCTAGCTGGTGAAGCAGCAGATCTGTCGCGTCAGGTGTGGAAGGGTGACTTTGTAACACCCATCCAAAAACAACGAGTAACCTTTTGTTTCAGGCACTGAAAGTCTGTACAGTTACTCTACTGTTTATCACGTGCAAAGTCTTTGTCAAATTAATGTTTAACTAAAGTAAAAATCACAACTTGTGTACAACTGGATTGTAAATCAGCCTTTAGGGCACTTGTGCCCCTCAGTATTTAGATCTGTGGTGCAGTGTTTGAATTGCCCAAATCAATTTAAGGCATTACTCTTAATGAGACTGTGCCTAAAATGAATGATTACAATCCAAGCTATTTATCCGAGTTCAGTTTGCTGCGTTTTGTTGTGAACTGTCAGGTTGAATTCTGCAGGATTAGGATCATTTGTACATTTATAAAAACGGCTAAACAAATGCACACCTCACAATTTAAAAAAAAAAGTTATTTAAGTGTGAAACTCTGAATTTACAGCTTGAGAGAGCACGTTATTTACCTCCTGCTTGGTTTTAGAGGTGTAGCCCTGGACAGACTCCCGGGCCACTAATGTTTCGAGAGCTTCCTGCAAGGTGCGGATCTTCTCAGACTGGATGTCGAGCTGCAGGGTAAAGAAAGGCTGCAGTGTTGCCGACTCTTTAGAGTTTTGCTGATAGACCACCGATCTGAGAAAGAAAGATAATCCTCAGTAAAATATTCTGAATTTTAAAGTAAAAAAAAAAAAAAAAAACACTGGACTTGTTATGAAGGGATTACAACATTTCAATACAACTCACTGGTACTACTACAATATTTAACTTTTTCCTACAATTTAATTGGCAGCAAATACGACAAAAGTATTTTCCGCCGTACACGTGGCACCGGCCTATAAATCGCATCAGTCCAAATACGTCTGATAAAGTGGAAAAACCCATAAATACGTCGCTTTCCCGTAAAAGTCGCTTCTATTATATGTCACCGCTGACGCGTCACGTTTGTTACGCATCACCGCTGACATCCTGGAAATGTGGGCCGGTGTTGTACCAAAAAACGATTGGCTGCCAAAAAGCGGCTGCGGGGGCGTGCACAGGAGGACTTTAACGAGATTAACACTTAAAACAAGTATTTGTTTGCTCAAAATTATAGTAAAGATGCGTCTCAGTCTAACTTTTACTTAATAAATGCACTTCAATGGTCAAGGCAAGACAGCTGTGTCATTAATAGCCACTTTTACCTATTACATGACACAGCAGCATGCCATACAGCTCGAGTGCCATGTAGCGGCTGAAAATGGTAGTGTTCAATATTTTCAGTCAAAGTGAATGAAAACGGGTCATATCTCAGGCAAAAATTGGTTCATATGGGAAAAAAATTTAATCCATAAATTAAGTCGCTTTGGCGTATAAGTTGTAGGGCATGCAAATTGTGCAAAAATTGCGACTTGCAGGGCGAAATATACGGTAAAAGAATCAAAGTTTTACCGACACTGCCGTTTGAAATAATACAGTTTTTAAATGAACTCTGCCCATCTTTGTTTCCAGTTCATGATTCCTATAGCAGAGCATTTTCACTCCCAACATTTAATATTATTCTAAGAAGCCTATTCTGATTGCAGCTTTAACACAAATTTAAAAGGAAAACGTAATTAATTTTAATGACAACTAAAACACTTGACATTTAATGATAGCTGCAGCAACTCAAGACATACCAAGCTCTCAGATTAAAGGCCTTCAAAATGAAGCCTATGGATTTTAGCCATGCTTAGCTGGCATTCATACACACACACACACACACACACACACACACACACTTGTGTTTCTTTACACCAGGGGCACAGAATCATTCCTAAGAAAATAATCCGTTAAGATGTACAATAAACGTACAAAGGACTCTGCCAGACCAGAACCTCAGGAACAAACCATTTTACTGAGAAAAGCAACGGCTTCTTAACATTCTAATTTGTCTGAAAGAGCAGACCTTTATTTTTGTAAAAGTACCCGTGACTCACTGTCAACACCACGAGTGACGGGGAGAAAGGCGGCAAAGCAACATAACTAAAAATTTACATCAAACAAACTTAACTAACCAGGAGTGAAAGGATCAACATTTAGACAGCAAGGAGTGCGTCAAGTCACCACTTCACCTGATGTGTCCACCAAAAATATCGGTAATAGGTGTGCGGACGAAGTCGGATTGACGAGTGACAGAAGTCTTGTTACGAGGACCAACTTGTTCCCACTCTTCTTCACTTCCCTCTTCCTCTTTTTCAGCAACATCTTCCTCGACACCTTGCTGGGATTCTGGTCCATTGGGTGTAGGAACTTCTGTGGAGGGGAGGAGGCAAAAAAATCAATCGGTCTGAATGAACGGAACAATGAAGCGAGTCGACCAAGTGCATCTCGGTTTAGCTTGTAAAACTATTTTATAACAAAACTGATCGCGTGTGATAAGAAAACAACCGGCCGATCGCAGGCTTGCCTTCTTTAACGTCTGCGCCACCGCTCCCCCGTGTTCTACCTGAACTGAGTTTATTAGTAACTCGTAAGTAAAACTACAAAAATAACTTTGTTTCATAAACAAAATCATGAAGTTTCTACCCACGCGGTGTTAGTGCCATTATTAAATAACCGACTGTACAGTGTGTCATTTTATTATTCTTACTGCAGCCAAGCTGGAAGTGTAAACTGCAGTGTTTCCCTACCATTCTTCAAGGCGGGTGCACCGCCCTGTCAACAGAACCGAGCGCCCCGCCTACCAAATCCTCCACCCCCCACCTGCTCCACCTCTTCTGGACGGGGAGATTGTAGCAGCTCAGCTCAGACTCTAAACCGCGAGCAATACAAATGTATCAAAACTGAAAGAATTCTGATTCTGATCGTTTACTTTGTTAAACAAAACGGTTCCTTTATTGTCCGACTAAGGTAAACAAATAGAAAAGCCTTTATTTGTCCAAGTATAAATTAAATTACTCGTCCAAGTCTGATATCCACATGCAAGTTGCTTACTGTCATCCTGAGGCATGATGAGCTTTTTCAATGCCAGCATCTCCTCGTGCAGTCCATTGAGCGTAAACCCGAGATACTCCTCTGCATCCTCTTGTCGACCCTAAAAAACATTCATCAGCCTGCTGTCAATGTCATCATTATGTCATGTCATGATGTCAAACACAAGTGCTAATTTACAGACGTCATTCAGTGAGCTGAAGAGGACGTGTGTGCACAGACACGACGAGTCCTTCTGGACATCAAAAGATGTCTTTCTCAGAGTATTTAATTAATTGCATCCTTAAAATTGAAGGTTGAGTCAGCACAAATTATTTCATTCTGAAGAGCTATCCAATTACACAAAAATCTGTGACTCCCAAAGGACTTTCTGTTCCTGAAGGGTTTTTTTTTTTAATCATTCAAACAAAGACGCACTGCTTTGCTGTGAAAATGTAATTATCCCAAAGCAGCATATCCTACCTTCTCAGAAAGACTGGATTTGATGAGCGTGAGGAGTTTATAAATATAGGTTGGTTCAAACGGTACACCAGGTCGAATGTCCTTTACCACTTTATCACCAACATCTGTGGGAACGGCAAGAAATCACAGGTTAGCGACAGAAAGCGACGCCAAACGTTTTCACTTGCACTAATTAACAACTTACTTTGCGGTTTCGTTTTAGGTGGCGCAGGCATATTGTTGAACTCGTTCACCAGCCTTACACTACCAGAGAAGAAAAAAAACAAAGCTGTGATGTCGCCGAGACATTTTGGAAATAAGATTGTAAAAGCACTTCTTACAAGTTGTCCATCATGGGGGTGGAGGAGCACGGTCTCTGTGTTTCAGTATGCAGAGGAATGGACTTCATCAGGTGATACATGGGAGGACACGCAATCAGGGCCTGTAGGGTCTGAGCGCTCGGAGTTAAGAACTGGAACAGAATGAAGGGCAGGCTGCGTTGCAAAGGAAACGCATCCAAACGTTGCATTCTGAGAAATAAACCCGTATGTTGACATCACAGAACTTCAAACATTTCTTTCCTGGCACAGCCAAACACATCTACCAACAAACAGAAGTAAAAACCCTGACATTTAACTACCGGTATTTAAAAAATCCAACACTACTCTGAACCAGTTTACCCTCTGTGCCATTTTTAGCTTAGAAAAATCCTTTTGGAACAAGTGACGTTAACAACCAGTCACACAAAAGTAAAACGTGATGAGAAAACTAAATTCAGTGAAAAGGATACGGCGTTGATATAGCACCAGTTTCCCTTGTTGATCAACCCCCTTGGCTGCAAAGACACTGGTTTATGTATCAACTTCACATTCTCAATAAGTTCTGGGGATTCAAACAAAAACAATATTCTTTAACGAGTAACTTTTTTCAAGGACAAGACAATCACATGCAAGTCTCATTTTATGAGCGTTAGTATACCACAAGTACATTTCATACTAAAATAAATGTTTCTTTCTCCATTCCTGGCTCTGGTGACACCACAAAAGACCATCTGAGTAGGAGCAAGAGATTACTGTACCACGCCTAGGAAGGGTGACCGTCATCGAAAAAGCACGGCTCCCATGAGAACGTGGATCGTTTCAATAAACGATTTGAACAAACAAAAATCATTAGCTTAGCTGTAATTAAAATCAGAACGTATAACCCAATTAAAATGAATCAGAACTATGTTCCAGGGTGTGCAGCTTTATTGCTGTACTTCCACAGATTTTAATTAAGTCAAAAAAAAAATAATTGCTTTAAGACATTATCTGCATCATCAAAACAAGAAAAACCACAGAACCTAGTTTTGGAACAAACATTTCTACGACTCATTTATGATGCTTTGTTATTAATATTTCATTATGGTGGCATTTGACTGCAATAATAAATATTTTAAAGCGAAGATGCATTTTCCCCTACTTCCCAGTGGATCGTATTGACTCGACCAGCCAAGGAAATCCAACTTGGGACTGGAATACAGTTTTGTTACAGTTTAACCAAAAAGGTACACAGACTTTAGAAACAGCTGGTCTGTGGCGCCATGCCGCTCCATCTCAAGCAGTTTGGTCTTTTTAAAGTTGAAATGACACTGGCACAGACTAAACACGATCAAATAAAAGCACTCAACATTATGGAAAAACTTCCATCTGCCTGGAAGTGCCTTTGCTTTAACATGGCAGTCATGCCATGCTGTGTCAGTCTCCCACAGAAAGATTATAATTAAATAACGGGCTTTGCATCGCATGCAATTTCAGGTATTCAGATGTTTTAAAACAATGTGTAGCAAGAGTAACTTAAAGGAAAAAAAAAAAAATCAGGTTTCATTCATATTTGAAACGTTTTCAGTCACTGAGACCAAACGAGCATTTCACGTTACAGCATCACGTACTGCTGTGCACCTTACAAAACAGTGGTGTTAAACACAAAAACAGATCTCTGAACAGTTTGAATGTTATATTAAAGCACATAAAATGTATATTCAGGCACTGCAGTCCGTGTGACGTGAACAGACAAGTCTCCAGACTACTGGAGAGTTGGCTCTTACCCATTGTGACGCCTTACTTTCACCCGAGTGTTCTTGGGTTGCATAAACGATACAAAGAATTGTTTTGGGATCAAATCAATTAATGACGTGGAGTGTGAATTTAGACAGGGGAGACAGCTCTTGTTCTAAAGACAGAAATGATAAACACTCCTTTTTCTCACAACGCACGAGGCCCACAACGTACATGAGCTACTTTTATTACTGTAGAGGAAATAAAGTGGGTTAACGATTGAAATCCAAGCACTTGATATTTGACAACTACGCAGTGACGCCACCTAGTGTTCAATATTTAAACTATGGCTTGTCACAAGGGTTTATAAAAACTGGTAGGTAAAACGTTTTGTGGAAAAGCCGGAGCTGACACTTAATATTTAACTCTTTACTCAGTGATGTTTAAAACTGCATGCTCATTAACAATTTAATTCTTTTTTTTACATTCACACTAAATGGAAAATTATTTAGAAGGAACACACCCATCTATTGCACAAAACACTTTAGAAACACTTGTGGGAGATAATACCTGCAAGTTTAGGGGCCATTGGATCCTCTGACACATGGACAGGACCTTCTTTTATCTCCCCAACCTTTTCAGGCTGCTCTGGCATTGCAAGGGAGGGAGACACAACTTCCACAACATTTTTTACCTCCACAAAAGCCTGTGGGCCCCCAGGCAGAGGTTTGGAGTTGTGAAAGAGACTAGCCCAGGATTTAGGAAGATTGGCAGTGGACGCAGCAGGAGTTGCAGGTGACTGTGCCTGCTCTGTCGCTAAAGGCTGGGCGGCACAGTCTTGAGAGAGATGCTGACTCTGCTCCCCACTGTCACAGTCCTCTCTGGGTCCTTCTGCACTGACAGCAGTATTAGGCTCTTCTAGCCCGTTGGCTACACCACTGTCTGCTACCTCCCCTCCTTCTAGTTCAGTAGTATTTGTGGAAGTGATGACAGAGGGGATAGCCTCAGCAGTAGGAGGAGGTGGTGACTTGGAGTGGGAGCTATGCAGGTCATCTGAAAGTTCAGGGCTCTGAGGAGGCAAATGAACCAGCTGCTGATCTGCAGTCCTTGGTCCCTCTGCCATGCCTCTGCTTTGAGAGGAGGAACAAGAGGAAGAAGTTGCATTGTTGCAATCTGATAAAGACACTCCACTTGTTAAGTCAAAACAACAGTCATCAGGGCTATCACAAGTCCTCTGATTGGCGGTGGATGTGGGGGCAAACTCAGCAGCTGTAAGAGTTTCTGAGGGGACAGGTGCAGTAGTACGTTGAGCTGCTGACAAAGCCTTGTTATCAACAACTTCAGGACTGTGGTGTGAGCCTCCAAGTGCATGTCCATTCACTAGTGCTGTTACAGGTACTCCATCCGCTGCACCGATGCTGTTGCTTCCACCAGCTGATGGATCCAGATAGCTGTAGTACCCTGGCGGCCGTTTTTTCTTTTTCTTTCTTTCTCGTTGTCCAAGGCTGCCAGGTAGTCCATCCATGTCCTGGCATGACTGGTGATTGTCCAGGGCTGAGGCTTCTGTGTCAGGCCCGTCCAGAGAGTCGAAGTGGCTTCCATCAGGAACATCAGCTGCCGAAGAAGCCGTCTGTTGAGCCTTCGGAGAGGGCTGGCAGCCCAGGATGAACTCTGGAGCCTGGGGGTTGAGATTACTCGACACCTTATACAAAGGATCATTCGCCCCTAAAGGCTTGGAATCCATCAGCTCGTCAACCCCAAACTCAATGTGCTGATAATCTTCTGCTGCAGAGAACACACCAGTCGATTAAAAACACAAAACATTTAAAATTCAGCCTAGCCTATAGAGTTCATAATTAGATGCCTGCCTCACATTACTGAAGCTCTTTCAGATGACAAGACATAAAATAAACCTATACATGCCTAAGTGATGCTTTATAACATTTACACAGGCTCTAAAGGACAATGTAGTTTAAGTTACAAAACTGTCATCACGTGTAAGTAACCCCACCCATTCACAACCCCCACAAAAATTAAAATGCAAACTATTTTTGTCCTTTTTAAAAAGGAATAAAATGCTGTTATTTTTAACATCTGAATGAATGTAATATAATTAATAATGGCATTGGTTTATGTCAATGAAATTTAAACTATTTAAAACAGTATGGTACAAATTTTTTGAGGCATACCATTTTTTTTAGGAGTAAAGGACAGCAATATATTTAATTCTGTGATTTAAGGTGGGATATATATATATATATATAT